CGTTGGCGTGCACTAAGTCTAAATTGCAAGGATAAGCTATCGGAAGTGTCAGCAATTGAGATGTGTATCCAAGGAATGCATTAGGGGCTTCTCTATTTCTTACAAGGGATTAAGCCTCAAAATTTTTAAGAATTGGCTACGTGTGCCCATGATATGGAGTTGAGCATCGCAAACCATAAGAGTGCACTCCCGCTAGATGGTCAAAAAGGGGAAAAGGATTTTAAGCGAAACGAAAAATTCTCTAAATCTTCTACCAAGGATTCAATGGCCATAAAAGCAGTGGGTTTGAAAATTGCTTCGGAGAACGAAGACGACAAAATCGGTGAACATCGGATATCAAATGACAGACGTGGACCCACGTTGAAGGAAATGCAAAAGAAAGAATACCCTTTTCCGGAATCGGACGTCTCCCATATCTTTGATGAGCTGCTGGCAAGGAAATTGATTGACTTGTCGGAACCAAAACGGCCCGAAGAAGTAGGAATGATGGATGACCCAAAGTATTGCAAATATCATCGAGTTGTTGGCCATCCCATAGAAAAGTACTTCATGGTCAAAGAAAAGATCATGAGACTCACGAGAGATGGCAAAATAATACTAGATACTGAAGATGTTGCCAACTCGAATGTTACAAGTGTCACTCCACTCTCAAGCAACACATATCCCGCATGGAAAGTGTCACCTGCGAAGAAAGTGTCTACATTTCAATTTGGGAGTTTAGAACCACAACTGGTCTGGGCTTTATGTCATGAGGAAGAAGTCGTACAGGATGAAAACCCCATTTCTGCTATTGAGGATGAGGGAGAATGGAGACGTGTTAACAAACTTCATGTAATTCCATAACAAAACCCACAGCCAATGAAATACAGTCACCATGGCAAATCAAAAAAAGACTCAAAGATGAGTGATGATGCTTCAAGAAAATCTTACGGAAGTTCAGTTCCGAAGCACGTGACTTTGAAAGAATTCTTTCCGAAAGAGTTCTTCCTGCAAAAAGTTGAAAGAGCATACGTTAACTCGGGTGAGAGCGACAATCTACATTATATTCCTTGTTGTGGTTCTATGACTTTCACGGACGATGACTTGTTGTTGGGATCTAAACCTCACAATCGTCCGCTCTTTGTTTCGGGATTCATACACGAGCAAAAATTTTGCCGTATACTCGTAGTTGGAGGGTCAGCTGTTAATATCTAACCAAAATCCACCATGAGACAGTTGGGGATTGCTATCGAAGATTTGTCTCGCAAACGCCTTAGTATTCAAGGATTTAACCAAGAAGGTCAAAGAGCTATTGGGATGGTTCATTTGGATCTCACAATTGAAGAGCTAGCGGCAAGTACACTATTCCATGTGATTGATGCAAGAACCTCTTATCACTTGTTATTAGGAAGGCCATGGCTTCACGAAAAGGGAATAGTCCTATCTACCCTTCATCAATGCTTCAAATTTCTTCAAATACCTGGGGAATGGATAAATGATGAAGGTCATTGCTAATGCCAAACCCTTTACCGAGGCAGAATCACACTTTGCGGATGCCAAACTGTATCTAGAGTCAAACCTGAAGTGCGAAACACTGATTTCAAAAATGTCGATATGCCAGTCTACTAATAAAGTCATTTGGAACTCGTACCAACGAAAAATCGGTTGCATAGAGGACGAGAAGGTGGCCACTTCAGTTGAAGCTCCAATGAGCAAAAATGACGGAGATGTGGGGAAGTTGAGTTTGCCAGTGTTTCGTTGCGCTCCCCGATCACGCCGAGGAAGCCAAATTTTGTTCAGTGGGTGCATCACATTATTAGAGGATGGAAAAGAATGACCAAAAGAGAAAGATCCAAACCATTACCACCTTATTAGAGAACATTTAATCATGCATATTATTGGCTTAAGTCCATTGGCGCATGAGCAGACACGTGATATTGTACCTCAGTCTCAATGGCCTAGGGGGAGGTGTATGATCCAAAATCATATGATTTATTAGCTGAGTTGACGGGCGAAAAGATTCATGGGTTAAATGAGACACAAAGGACATTAAGAAGATAAGGTTTTTGCGTTAATCAACCTAGAGTCGGTTTGGGATTCATTCCCACCAAGCCAGTTAGAATTCGCGTGTCAAGGAAAGAAGAGTGCGCCAACGTCCATCATATCACCATAAAGGGTGTTAGAAAAAAAAAAAACAGCGGTCGCATTTCTGCATTTGATCGAACTGAGGCTCCTACCACCCAATCTTCTGTCTTTGAAAAACTTGACACTCATGGTGCGCGACCCTCGGTCTTTGAAAGGCTTGGTCCTTCTAATAATGTCTCAAGTGTTCACGATAGACTTTCTATAGACACTCGTTCAGTGTTCTCACGACTGAGAAATTACTATAGGAACCAACACGGAAAAAACAGTGGCAGAGGATGAGATAGATGTGTTCGAATCAACGGATGAAGCTCAAGCTCTTCAAATGCTTTGATCATGCCAAAGGGATCAACCGCTCTTACTTATTGCCATGAATGGATCAGTGAAGGTGAAACAACGTGTTGCAAGCCATCATGCCTCTAAAGAGAACGGAAATCAAAGCAAAGACGAAGTCGAAATTGTCGTCAGCAGTCATTATGCAAGTATTGTTGATGATCGAGAGGAAGTTTCGGAAGATGAAATACAAGAGGCCCCTTTGCAACTGGAGGATGGAGGGCAAGCTACTATTGATGAGTGAAATGAACTGAACCTAGGCATATTAGATGACCCCCGCCTAATATTCGTAAGTGCAATTTTGAGTCCTGAAGAGGAGAAACAATATCTTGAGATACTAGGCGAATACAAAGATGTGTTTGCTTGGACATACAAAGAAATGCGCGGGCTGGATCCCAAAAATCGCAATCCATCACCTTGGTATAAGAAATGGAGCGCGCCCTGTAAAACAATCGCAACGTGTACTTCGTTTTGAGTTAATTCCACGAATTGAAACCGAAGTCAACAAGCTCATAGATGTTGGATTCATCAGGGAGGTCAAGTACCCAACTTGGATCTCTAGCATTGTGCTAGTTAAGAAGAAGAATGGTCAAATACGCATTTACGTTGATTTTCGGGACTTAAACAAGGCTTGTCCTAAGGATGATTTCCTCTTACCTATCATCGAGCTCATGGTTGATGCGACAACTGGACATGAAGCATTATCTTTTATGGATGGCTCTTCTGGCTACAATCAAATTAGAATGGCTCCGGAAGATGGAGAATACACGGCATTTCGCACGCCAAAGGGAATCTACTGCTACAAAGCAATGTCGTTTGGACTAAAGAATGTGGGCGCCACCTACCAGCGTGTCATGCAAAACATCTTTGACGACATGCTGCACAAAAGAGTGGAGTGTTATGTCGATGACCTCGTTGTCAAAACAATGAAAAGAGGTGACCATTTGAGGGACCTTCGGATTGTATTCGAAAGCTTTAGAAAATACAACTTAAAGATGAATCCTCTTAAGTGTGATTTTGGTGTCTCTTCCGGCAAATTTCTTGGCTTCATAGTCCGTTGTCGTGGTATAGAGGTTGACCCCTCTAAGATAGATGCCATTCAAAAGATGCCTGCGCATAGAAATTTGAAAGGGTTGAGAAGTTTACAAGGAAATCTCGCATTCATAAGAAGGTTTATATCGAATCTCGCTGGGAGATGTCAACCATTCAATCATCTCATGAAGAAATACGCACCTTTAAAATGGGACGAAGGATGTCAAAATGCTTTTGAAAGCATAAAGAAGCACGTATTAAATCCGCCCGTCTTAGGGGCTCCTATACCCGAAAAGCCACTCATATTATACATAGCAGCTCAAGAAAGGTCAGTTGGTGCTCTTATGGCGCAAGAGAATGAAAGCGGCAAAAAAGTGTGCCTTGTAGTACTTGAGTAGAACTCTAACGGAGAATGAATTGAGATATTCCACGGTGGAGAAAATTTTCTTGGCACTATTCTACACAATTAAGAAATTAAGGCATTACTTTGAAGCATACTCTATACGACTCATTTCACGTGCCGATCCAATCAAGTTTTGTGATGTCAAAGCCAGTGCTATCTGGAAGATTAGCAAAGTGGTCTATCATGTTCAATCAATACGAGATCACGTATGTGCCTCAAAAATCTGTTAAAGGGCAGACACTAGCTAATTTTCTAGTCGACCACCCTATTCCGGCAGAATGGATATTATCCGATGACCTTCCTGATGAAGACATTTTCTTTACCGAAGTTCTTTCAGCATGGGAAATGTTATTTGATGGGGCCGCCCGGTATGATGGATCGGGGGCAGGAGTTGTTTTTGTGTCACCCGAGAGACAAGTTTTGACATACTCGATGGTATTGGGCGAGCTCTGCTCCAATATTGTGGTCGAGTATCAAGCTTTGATCATTGGTCTTGAAATGGCTTTAGAAATGAATATTACTGAGATTGAATTTTATGGTGACTCAATATTGGTTATCAACCAACTTTTGAAAGTATACGAGGTTAGGAAAGAAGACCTTATTCGTTTCTGTCAACACGCTTCGGACTTGGTGGCGAAGTTTGAAAAAGTCGTGTTAAATCACATTCCGAAGAAAGATAATAGGATGGCAGACACGTAGCTAATCTAGCAACCATTTTACCTTTGTCGGAAGGAGAGACAACAAATGTTCTCGTGTGTAATCGTTGGATTGTACCATCATTCGTTGAAGTCAGGCATGAAGACGCTAACATTACATCAATTTCAGTCAATGATGATCAAGATTGGAGAATACCATTGATCATTTACTTGAAAAATGTAGAGTTACCCGGGGAAGTTCGTCATAAGACGGAAGTAAGAAAAAGGGCACCTCGTTTTATTATTTACAAGGATACACTTTATCGTCGGTCTTTTGAAGGCAATGACCAGCGTTGTTTGTACGGTGAAGAGATGTTTGAAGAAATGATGTAAGCATATTCTGGGGTTTGTGGTGCTCATCAGTCCGGTCCGAAGCTACTCTTTCAAATTAAAGAATGGGCTATTATTGGCCTACGATGGTCAAAGATTCTTTGGACTACGAAAGAAGATGTGAAGCTTGTCAATTACATGCGAACTTCATATACAAACCTCCGGAGCCCTTACATCCTACAGTCGCCTCATGGCCATTTGATTCGTGGGGTCTTGACATCGTGGGACCTATTTCTTCTAAGTCGTCCGCAGGTCGCGCTTATATACTGGCAGCTACTGACTACTTCTCCAAATGGGCGGAGGTTGTTCCTTTGAAGGAAGTGAAGAAGGAAACGTGGTCGAGTTCATTCGTTCCCATCTTATCTTTAGATATGGAATACCTCGATGCATCATTACCGATAATGGAAAACCGTTTTACAACAAGATGATGGGTAAATTATGCGTGCAATTTGGGTTTAAGAAACACAACTCCTCAATGTATAATGCGATTGCGAATGGTCTAGCAGAGGCGTTCAACAAAACTTTGTGTAACCTTTTGAAGAAAGTAGTTTCAGAGTCAAAGAAAGATTAGCACGAGAGGGTTGGGGAAGCTTTATGGGCGTATAGAACGACATACAGGACTGCCACTCAAGCCAGTCCATACTCCTTGGTTTTTGGTGTAGAAGCTATCCTTCCACTTAAAAGTCAAATACCTTCGCTTCGTATTGATGTACAAGAAGGGCTAACCGCCGAAGATAATGTTCGTCTTAGACTTCAGGAGTTGGAGGCGCAGATAAGAAGAGATTAGAAGCTCAGCAACAACTTGAGTGCTATCAAGCTCGCATGTCCAAAGCATTCAATAAAAAGGTCCGCCCTCGATCATTTCAAGTTGGAGATTTGGTTCTGGCAGTAAGAAGGTCAATTACCCTCACCCAACGAATGGGGAAAAAATTCACGTCTAAATGGGACGGCCCCTATGTAGTGAAGGAAGCTTACACGAGCGGCGCCTACAAGTTGGTGGACAATGATGGATTACGAATTGGCCCTATAAATGGTAAATTCTTGAAGCGTTACTACCCTTGAAGAAACATCTACCTTCGAGAAAAAGAACGTGGTGAAGTGATGTTGAATGTTAGCTTGAACTACGTTATGACTTGATCCCTTTGAGGAGGGTACGTAGGCAGCTTAGACCCATATTCTAAGTTCAGTCAAACCAAAAAAAAAATTGTTCTAAGTTGTTCGCTTGAACTACGTTATGACTTGATCCCTTTGAGAAGGGTACGTAGGCAGCTTAGACCCATATTCTAAGTTTAGTAGATCCAAAAAAATTTGTTCTGAGTTGTTCACTTGAACTACGTAATGACTTGATCCATTTGAGGAGGGTACGTAGGCAGCTTAGACCCATATTCTAAGTTCAGTCAAACCAAAAAAAAAAATTGTTCTAAGTTGTTCACTTGAACTACGTTATGACTTGATCCCTTTGAGGAGGGTACGTAGGTAGCTTAGACCCATATTCTATGTTCACTCAAACCCAAAAAAAAAAGTTGTTCGTTGTAACTGCGTTTATTCTAAGCAAGTTTGGTTAATTTTCTTTTAAGTTAACTAATTTGTAAAATCAGCCGGATCAAAAAGTGTGCACGATGTAATCATCCAAAGTTATCATTTGCTATATAAAGATGAAAGAGGGATGCCAAGACGATAATAAGGCCTTATGAGAAGCAAGAGATAATTCTATTGCTTAAAAAGATGGAATGTTCTTGTACATCGAAACATAGTAAAATGACATGAAAAAAAATTTGTGCTAAAACAAATTATGCTAAAAAAAAAATCTCGAAAACACTTAAGCGAACAAATCAAAAGTTTCTAGATTCTTCAAGTAGAACTTCCATCTTCTCCAAAGCATCCACCTCATGGTTAGATAAGAATGGTGTGTTCCCAAGACAGGAAATATTCTCTCTTTTCATAGTCACAACCTGCTGGACCTTGGCCAAATCTTCTTCGACCTTACCAAGGGATGAACTTGCTGAATCTTTCTTGTTCCTTAGCTCTTCTAGTTGCTTGGTGATTTCAAGATTTCAGCCTTTGCGTTGTTCACCGTCTCGACAAGCTCATTCTCTTGCAGTTCAACCTCGGAAAGATCTTGTTGTGCAAGCGAAAGAGACTTCTCGTGCATCTCTTGTGTCTCTCTCTCTGTATGAAATCCAAATTGACCTTTGTGTATTGTGAAGCATCTTCGAAATATGAATTCAAGCATTTCTCCAAGGGTGATATGTCTTTCATGTAAGCTTGCATGTCTTAAAGCACTTTCTCGATCGCTTGCTTTACCTCTGAAAGTTGTTGAAATGAATTGTTCATGATCTTTTGGGAAATCATTTGCCAATAGAAATTCAAAATTACTCTTTCGGCTTCACTTTTGATGATCTGAGGGGAAAACTCGGAGCCCTCAACATATGCCTTCTCGATTGCGGGAACGGGCGAAACTGTCTTTTGTTGTTCGGCAAAAATCCTCTCCACTGCAAGAGAAGTTTTTTTTTCCGTTTGTCTTGAGGACGTGAGGTGGCACCCGTTTCATGTAAACCCAAAAAGTTGGCCTCGTTTACTGACCCCAAACTGACCTGAGAAGTAAGACAGACACCCTCATCGAAATCGGGAAGCTAAAAAAATGAGAAAAATAAAATAATAATAATAAATAAATAAAGAAAAATAGGATGATTTATTTTACTGATCCTTTTAAAGGTAATGAAGAACTGGGCACGCCCTCAAAAAATGAGGAATTTGCAATGGCTAAGTAAAAAACCTTGGATGCCTCCTTCGATGGACATTGGTTGCTAAACTCGTCGTTTGAAGGTAAAAGCGCGGAGATGATCTCATTCCCTTCACCATGAATAGCTTCGAATGTAGAATTAGAGGCCACATTATCAAGAAGAATACGTTGCTTCCTAGTAGAAGCCTCCGCAGCTTGCGCGATGTTTCCCTTTCCGATAGATGAAGAAATATAAGGTTCCTTCGGATCTTTTGCTGAAGTTCTTCGAATAGTGTGACCAAGTTTGAGTGATAACTTAGTGTTTGCTCCTAAAGAAGTTTTCCAACTTTTTGCCCACCATTCCGTATATTCTTTTGTCACCAAAGGAAAGGAAGATGTGTCACTTAGCATAATAAGCTTGGAGGATGTGCCCAATAAGGTGCAAGATGTCCACAATCGGATGAGTTCGTGCAACTCATTCTTCAAGTCACCCGGAATGCCTTGACGGAAACCATGTTGGCGGCTAAATCTATGAGGGTTGTACACCTCAATAATCCGCCTCACACCGAAGTGTCAAATAGCTGAATCGCAAAACCACGTGGATATCTCTGCATTTGCTGGATAGTTTGGCATCGTCTATGACTAAAGTTTCTTGCTTGGAATACCACAAATATAGGAGCTTCGACATATTGATATTATGAAACAAGTCATGTGCCTCATCGAGATCAAAATGTTTAGCCATGTTCTCTCCCGCATATTTCACCATATGAGCGCCGATTAGCTCGAGTTTGGAATGAAAGTGGGTCTCGAGAGTGTGTCCTATCCATGCATAGAGATAGTGAATGGGGAAGATAATAGGAGACTCGCCTAAATTCTCCGATGTAGATATTCCCCTTAAGCCGCAGTAGATGCTCGCTAGTACATGAACTGCCAACGAAAAATATTCTCCTCTAGCCATTCGACTTGAAACCTTGAAAACAGAGGCGCGTATCTTATCAATTGATCCATGAGGGAGAGCAAAACTACAAATCCAACATGCAATGAACGTGGCCATGTAAGTTTCTTCTTTAATGTCTTCCTCGATTTTGAGCGTTGCAAACAGTATGCCGCATTCCTTGGGGCGAGATAGCTTTGACGCCTCGACCTTTCCACAAGGATTGCGAGAAATTTTTTGCCTAGAAATCCTCTTTCTTGATAACCTTAAAGGAGGCTCCTTTATCTGGTTGGTCCTTTGAACCAAAAGTTAACCCAATCGGAGAGTAGTACGCCACTGGAATCATTTGAAAGTCTGTGATACGCCATGAAGAAGTATTTGCAACTACGGGGTAAGGAAGTTCCACCAGAGTCAGGAGCTCTTTCGCTGAAGGAACCACTTTGTCGTAGAAGTCTCCATGAATGGGCAGTCCGCATAGTCCGCGTATGTCCCATAGTGAGATCGATAATTCACCATTGGCCGTATGCAACGTGTTCATAGAACGGCACCATAGTACAAGGAAATCTGGAAGCACATTTTTGTTGCAGACGTACGTGAATAGCGAAGCATGAACAGCTGCATATATCTTGGCTTGGCGAAGGGTATCCGCATAATGGCCTATCACGTCTTCTGTCCACTCCCAATAGCCGACGTGAAAGGACACCTCTCCAAATTTGGACGGTGGGATCTTCCACGAGCCTCCCTTGAATGAGAAAGGACGATGTGCGAGTATAAAATCCACAGGTTTAGCTTTTTCATCGTGAAGCGAGGACTTCAGCATCAAGACTCGTGAGCGGGAAGAAGAGCCAGAACGAGAGTCAGTTGTTTCCGTAGTAGCCTCCTCGGACCAATTGGAGAGGTGCATGGATTTGTCGATAGATCGTGATTGGGAAGATACGCCGCTTGAAGCCGGTTCATAAACACGCAAAGTCGTACCTTTGACTTTGAAGTTATCTTTGTTTGAACAGATGATGATACATGGGAATGGTTCACTGCGGTCTTCAATACTCATCTTTGCGGCTTCCTAAAAAACAAAAAAAAAAAAAAAAAAAAAAAGACAATGATTATGGGTTCGAAAAATTGTTCCCGACAATATGCAGAAAAATAGATGTTTAGTTGTGTCGTTATGTGCGTGGTTGCGCAAGGTGATTGTTTATGTCAATGAAGAATGAAATTTACCGTTCAATCAAGAAAACCAACTTACCAGTCGTGCAGCGAGTAAAAAAAATTTCAGAAAGAAAGAAGAAAATAGGGGGTTTCGATGACTATGAAAACAAAAGGGGATTTCCAAGCCACAATATTTTCTCTGAAGACGAAATAGCAGAGCTACCCATTATATGCATGATGCGATGAAAAGATTAGGAAATTATATCTGATTGCTTGAGGAAGGGGATAAATGTTTACAAGGAATTTTCTAAATATTGTTCAGTAGTAAAAAAAAAAAAAGTTTGGTTTCGTCTAAAGTTGATTGCCAAAGTGGAAAATTCACAGATATTATTTCCTTGTGCTGCTACTTGGCTAAAGTTGGGTTTCGTCTCTCATATTTGTGGTTTACAAAGACCATGAGTTGTGAGTCCAATTAAAAAAAATAAAAAATAAACATCCAATCTTCACGTGTGTTTGGGAGGGAACAGACTATTGCTGCTAGTCATTTTTCCTAAGAAATGAATGAGGTAGGCCCCGTTTAATAATTTGATGGTCAAATAGCGTATACTTACAAACCAAAATTTATTTGGTATGTCCATGAAAAATTATGGACTTCCACCCTCAGGTTTCTATTCTATGAGGCACAAACCATTTCTCCAATGAAAGCATAGACGGGGTAATGAGTCACAAAAGGAATATATATATATATATTATGTAGTTTCTAAGGTCTTAGTTCCAACATTAATCTAAATTAGTAAATTAATAGTACTTGTATTGTAGTTGGTTCATAATTAACAATAAATAATATTTTCTCATGTCTTGCACAATTATAATTAATAATAACAGTATAAATTCATGTGTCCTATTAATTAATTGCTACAATAAAAGTTCAAAAGACGAATCAAATAGATAAATATGAAAAAAGAGAAAGGAAATCAACATAATTTGGATCGCCAAATTAAATTATAAAGTTTGATAATTTTTTTTTATTAAGGTCATTGTGTTATGGTTCCATGACATGGATTCCCATTCTTATTTTGGGGTTGCTCCTTCATTAATCTCTCTTCAACAATTATAATTGCAAGTACAATAGGTCTTAACATGGTCACTCTCAAATTTACAAACTGAATTTATCAAATTAGAATAACCAGAAGACACACAACTAATAATGCAAGAAAATTGACTATTACATCACAATTTTGATCCTTGTGTAAATCTATC